AGCGTTTCAGAGAGTTCGTGAAATTGTCGTTTCATGGATTCCAAAACACTGTGACAAAGTACTTCCTTTGGAACTGCTCTGGATGCCAGATTCAGAAATGGTCGCAGATCCTCTTACCAAGGACAAGTCCAACCCAGAGAAGATTTTAACACCTATCCGTTCTGGTACCCTTACGTTCACCTCGTCCTGCGAACCAGCCACAGCACCACCAACGAGTGCCAACGCGACGACGTCTGCCAGACCTTCGCGCCTGGGTTTCCCGGCTGAGGGAACGGCGGACGTTTGTGCCATGGTTGCAACTGCGATCGGCGCCCGGGTGCCGGCAGCGTCCGGTTGCACGAGCAAGGCTCGACCTCCTCATCCAGGAACTTCTTCGAAGGCTGCCCCGCCGGCTCCTCCAGCAGGGCTCGCAGCAGAAGAGCAGCTTGCGGCGCTTCCGCCAGCACGTCGCGTCAGCGGCGTAGAGCGGCAGCTCCAATGCAGTGCTCTGAGCATGATGTCTACCGAGCGCAGGGCCATGCAGAAGCTGCAGAACAAGCAGGATACCTCTCGCGAGCGACAGCTTGAACGGGCCGTAGACCTAGCACACAGAGAGCTGCAGGCAACGCAGAAAGCAATCTGCATGGATAAGCGTATCAAGGATGCAGATAACGATGCCTGTGGCAAGCCAGAGAAATACCACGATCATCTGCACCGCCGAGATGTCAAGCAGATGGGCCACCACATGTCTGCCAGGAAGCTCCGGGACAGAGAGGGCGAAACTTGACAGGGCCAACTGGGAACAGCGTCGTGGTAGGCATGCTGGCCGGGAGCAGAGTGCTGCTAGCGTTCCGGATTACGTTTCGGACCGCAGAGAACCAGAGGCGCCACGTCCTATCACTCCACGAGGGAGGTCCCGCAGCAGGGACGATAGTTCTTCTGATTCGTCAGAGTCTGCTGGGACGTTGTCGTGTGATGGAGACGATAAGGCCACCAACGACAGGAACCAAGTCTTCACGAAAGCAGACCGGGCGCCCGAGCTGAGGCTGTCTACCGACAGGAACACAAAGAGGCCTCCTCCAAGCGCAGCCCGGAAAGCAAAGAAAACCGCAAAGCGCGCCGAGAAGAAGAAAGCAAAGAGGACGACGACGACGACTACTGACTGACCTCTGAGCCTCCCTTTGGCATCTTTTAAAGAAAAGAGGTTGAGGTTGTGAAGCGACTTCATCCCTCTTCTAGTCGTCTTGCCCATCATTCTCTTCTCGCCCCGTCTCTCCTTGTCCCTGCCTTCTCGTGTTGCCTTGCACTTCTCTTGACCGCCGCCGCTTAGGGCCCTTGAGCCGCTCTCGCCTTGCCGGAAAGAGCGGGCCGCCCAAGCGTGCCCTGCCGGGCATCCGGAAAGAGCGGACCGCCCAAGCGAGCCCTGCCGGGCATTCCGTCTCCCGCCTAGATGGCTTTCGATTGAGACATCCTCATCCGCCACACCCAGTGCAGCGCTTCGTGGCCCCATTGAGAGCCCCACGTAGGGCCCCAGGGGGGGGTACCACATGCGTCCGCCACACCCAAAACTGCGCTTCGTGGCCCCATAGGGAGCTCCACGCAAGGCCCCAGTGGGGGTAGCCACACGCGTCCGCCACACCCAGTACGGCGTTTCGTGGCCAATGGGGCCGTCCGCGTGCGTCCCGCACGCGCAAGTTTGCATTTTCATCCACCCAGTACAGCGCTTCGTGGCCCCATCGGGAGCTCCTCCGAAGCCCCCAGTCGGACCGTCCGCGTGCGTCCCGCACACGCAATTTGACATATCACTCTTCCTGAACAGCGGTTCGTGGCCCCAATAAGGAGCTCCACCGAAGCCCCATGTGGGACCGCCCACATGCGTCTCACACACCCAGTTTGGCAGTTCCCCCCACCCACTACAACGTTTCGGGAGCTCCACCGAATCCCCCAGTGGGACAGTCCGCATGCTTGCCGGACGCCCAAGTTGGCAACCTTTTCGTGGCCCCATAGGGAGCTTCACCGAAGCCCCCAGAGGACCGTCCGCACGCGTCCCACACACACAATTTGGCACGTTCACCCACCCAGCACAGCGCTTCGTGGCCCCACGGGGATCTCCACCGGCGGCCCCAGTGCTACCACCAACGTGTTCCCCCCCACCCAGTGCAGCGCTTCGTGGCCCCATGGGGGATTTCTCACCGAAGAAGATATTCACAATTGCGGTGCCCACAACTTTATATGTTCGGGTCTATCGCCGGGATAATTTTGTCCAACCATCATGTGGTAATGGGTCCACGTTTTGAAGAGACGGTCCCCGCGCCCCTCGTTCCTTTTCTCCTCTCTCCTCCTCCCCCTCTTCCGTCCTCCCCCTCCCCCTTACTCCCTCCTTCATGCGCTGCGCCCACCGATTTCAGCGCTTCGTTGCCCCATAAAAAGGAGCTCCACCTAAGGCCCCAGCGGGGGTGGCCACTGGCCACATGCGCCCGCCACTCCCAGTACAACGCTTCGTAGCCCCATAAGGAGTTCCACCCAATGCCCCACGGGGGGTGGCCTCATGTGCCAGCCACACCCAGAAAAACGCTTCGTGGCCACATCGGGAGCTCCACGTAAGGCCCGGCGGGGGTGTTTACATGCGTCACACCCAGTGCACCGCCCCGTGGCCCCGTACAGAACTCAACGCAAGGTCCCTTTGGGAGTGGCCACATGCGTTCGCCACACCCAGTACAGCGCTTCGTGGGCCCAATAAGGAGCTGCACCCAAGGCCCAAGTTGGGGTGGCCGCATGCGTCCGCCACACCCAGTACAGCGCTTAGTGGCCCCAAAGGGAACCCAACCCAAGGCCCCAGTGATGGTGGCCACATGCGTCCGCCACACCCAGTACTGCGCTTCGTGGCCCCATGGGAAGCTCCACCTAAGGCCCCAAGTGGGGGTGGCAACATGTGTCCGCCACACCCAGTACAGCGTTTCGTGGGCCCATGGGAGCTCCACCCAAGGCCCCAGTGGGGGTGGCCACATGCGTCCGCCACACCCAACACAGCGCTTCGTAGCCTCATACGGAGCTCCACCCAAGGCCCAAGTGGCGGTGACAACATGTGCCCGCCACACCCAGTACAGCGCTTCGTGGCCCCATGGGAGCTCCACGCCAGGCCCCAGTGGGGGTGGCCACATGCGTCCGCCACACCCAGTATTGCGCTTCGTGGCCCCATAGGGAGCTCCGCCCAAGGCTCCAGCGGGTGTGGCTACATGCGTCCGCCACACCCAGTACAGCGTTCAGTGGCCCCATAGGGAGCTCCACGCAAGGCCCCAGTGGGGGTGGCCACATGCGTCCGTGCGTCCGCCACACCCAGCACAGCGCTTCCTAGCCCCGTAGGGGCTCCATCTGCGGCCCCAGCGGGGGTTGCCACATGCGTCCGCCACACCCAGTACAGCGCTTCGTGGCCCCATAGGGAGCTCCACCTGCGGCCCCAGTGGGGTTGGCCAGATGCGTCCGCCAAACACAGTACAGCTCTTCGCGGCCCATAGGGAACCCCACCGAAGGCCCCAGTGGCACCGCCCGCATGCGTCTCCCCCACCCATTACGTGACGTCCCTCACGCGCTTCGTGGCCCCATAGGGAGCTCCACCGACGGCGGCACCAACAAAGCGTGACTCACAACTGCATATGGTTGGGTCCTTCGCCAGGATAATTTTTGGTCAGGGATGGCGGGGAGGGTGCCCGCATTGTCCCGGGTTTGTCGGCGGTCGGGTGGGAAACGGGGTGCATAGCAATAGCTAGCAGTGATAAGCCACGCGCCGAAAGTGAGGAGGGGTGGAATAAGAAACGCTCTGAGCCACTTCCGCCCTACAGGGCTGGTGGGATGTCCTCACGCCCTTTGCACTGAAGGGGTCTTGTTGGATAGCGAACGTGTCGGTCATTGTGTCCGGCCGATGTCGGTCGGATACCAGGTCCGTTGGTTTCCGGATTCCCGGCAGGGCTCTGGTATTCTAATTTGGGGCCTCACAGCTCCCAGCGTTGTAAGGCCCCTGGGTCATCGATTTCTTTGTTTCGGCCACTCCCCCAGATCTTGAAACCATTGTTTGGATGATAAGGTTAAAGTAGAGGTGAGGAGAATATGGAGAGATAGAGGGAGGGAGGGAGAGAGAGAGAGAGGGAAAGAAAAAGGGACGGAGAGAGAGAGAGAGAGAGACGAGGCGAGATGATATGGGCCAAAGAGAGAGGATACAAACGTGCAGTGAATAGGTAGTGTAGGTAGCGAATGGGTGAAACAGGAAGATATATAGAGAGACGTATAAACAATACACACATGTAAACGTATCGTATACATATGTTGCGTCATATCGTGATATGTAGAGCGAGTTGAATCGACATATCAAGTACATTGAACGAAAAAGGGGGTGAGAGAGAGAGGAAGAGCTAGATATAGAAAGCCAGAGACAGATATTTATGTATATATAGAGATATAAAGCCAGTTGGCGAGGCATGCTTGCGCACATGTCAGGACATCCCATGTTTGTTCGTCTTGTTTTATGCTAGACGACATGAGAAGAATTTAGGCGAAAATCTTATACATATTAATATGTATACACGTCGCCCTCGGGATCGTCTTTGGACCCTGACCCCATGGCCATCATAGAGGTATATGTTGGGCCCGTATGCGGCCGTCTTGAGCGCTTGCGCCCTCTTCGGGGTCTCTTGGGGCCTTCCTGGGGATGTCTCTTGGGCCGTCCTGGCCTTGCCTCCTGTTGGCATACATGTGGACAGCCTGGGGCAACCTTGAGCGGCCAGGCTCAGGGACCCCCATGCTGATTGTTGTTGGGGCTCGGTCCTCTTTAGCAGCCATCAGAAAAGAGACAGGAATTGGGAGACGAAAGGCACGACATCATAAAAATGAAAAGAACACAAACCACCAGTCCATCAGCGATTTCCGAAGCCTCGCGTCCCCAGCTGGTGTTCGTGGATTGCTAACGCACCCTCGTTGTGCTTCTTTTCTCAGAGGAGTAGGAGGGGGCGGCCAACCGCGCTGGTCAGGACATCCCACTGGACGACCCGGACGGCGACGGCGTCCCCGGGATGTGTCCCTCCGATTGGCTTCGGCGCGCGCGTTGTCCGCTCCTCTCCCATGTTTCTCTTACCCGCAGGGTCGCAAGCAGATCTGCGCTCCGCGTTCTGGGCTTGAGAGCCGCCCTGGTTCTTTAACCCGCGTCGCGCGACAGCATGGGCGTGGCCTATATGCAGCAACGTGCCCTTTCCGATCGGGGCGGGCTCGCCAGGGGCCGGGTAACGTGCCGACTAGGGCAGCGCTAGAATGCGCGCGGCCCCATGCAATGGCAAAGATTTCGGCACGCCTGGAAGAGGTTTTTGCCAACCCATTCCTATCCGAGTCCTTCCAAATATCTCGGGGGTCTTCTTTTCATCGAGCCTCCATGCTTTGCCTGGACCCCCCGATGGAGGTGAACAATAAAAGAGTACCCCCTCTGGGGAGTCGCCTCCCTATTGTCTAGAGCTGACGAATCTATTCTAGGGGGTGCAAACCTGTTTTAGATTGTCCCTCCTTGTCAGAGCTTGTTGGGTGCCGCGGTGGCCATCGTCATCCCGCCGGTCGTCATCCCGTCGTCGTCGTCGTCGTCGTCGTCGTCGTCGTCGTCGTCGTCGTCGTCTCCGTCGTCCGTCGCCCGTCGTCCGTCGTCGCCCCAGGGCTGCAGGACGCCCGCGCAGCCCCCCCCCGTCCTCCCCTCCGCCCTTCCCAAATGCCGTCCGCAACAAGGGCCATCGTCGTCGTTGTCGTTCGGTCGTCGCCGTCCCCCAGGACTGCATGGCGCCCGCGCCACCGGGCAAGAGGCCTCCGACCAGTCCGGATAGCCACCCCCGCCGTTCCGAATTGTCAGTCTTCGCAGAAAACACTCGGGCCAACCCGATTTGTCCGCCCTCTGTGGGCGGAGCTGTTTGGCCCGCCAATATAGGTGCCACAGGGCCTGCGACCATATCCGTAAGGGATTCGCCTCCTGCCGCAGGCCCCCTCTTTATCAGAATGGGATCTGTCACAGTCGCGCCGGTGCGTCTCGGCGCTGCCTTGGCGCATCTGGGAAGATCATGCGGGGGCGTTAGGAACCAACGGCGCATATTGAAACGTTTGCGTTGCCGAAAACGCGTACGGCGAATCACCGCCGCCCCCTGCCCTTGCGGAAGCGCCGATGTGGCCGACAGATGGGCTAGAGTTTGGCCAAGTTATCGGGCCAGTTGTTCCCCGAATCGGTGTGGAGAGCCTTCGGGGAAAGCGCGGGGGGAGCACGATGTTAAAGTGCCCATGTGTCCGAGCGTTGTGGCAAGAACTCTGCCGCGCTATCGGGCCATTCCCCAACCGTTGTGGACATCCTTCAGGGGAAGCTTGGGGGATGATGGCGTGGAGTATCAGGAGGAGGAGGAGGAAGAGGAGGAGGAGGATAAGGCGGGGGGGAGGAGGAGCATAAGCAAAAGGGAAGGAGGACACGGAGGAGGACGAGGAGGAGGAGGAGGAGGACACGAGGAAAAGGAGGGGAAGGAGGAGGAGGAGGAGGAGGAAGAGGAGGACACGAAGAACAGGAGGGGAAGGAGGAGAAAGAGGGGGAGGAGGAGGAGGAAGAGGAGGAGGAGGACAAGGCGGGGGGAGGAGGAGCATAAGCAAAAGGAAAGGAGGACACGGAGGAGGACGAGGAGGAGGAGGAGGACACGAGGAAAAGGAGGGGGAGGAGGAGGAGGAGGAGGAGGAGGAGGAAGAGGAGGACACGAGGAAAAGGAGGGGAAGGAGAAGGAAGAGGGGGAGGAGGAGGAGGAGGAGGAGGAGGAGGAGGAGAAGGAGGAGGAGGAGGGCGGGGCATCTTGGGAGCCTCTGAGGGCACTCTTGGGGCCTCCTGGGAGTTTCTTGGGAGCGTTTTGGGGGCATCATGGGGGTCCCCAGGGCCCCTCTTGAGTGCCTTTTGGGGGCTCTCGGGGGCTTTTTGGGCAGTCTCAGGGCATGCTTGCCCGTCCGACGCCGTCAGACGCCGTCTTGGGGACCTTTTTTGGCCCACTGGATCATATTTACCTCGGGTCCGGGACCAATGCCGGAAGAGAGGCAGACCGAAGCAACAGTGGGCTTCGTGTGTTTACAAGCTTTTGCCACAACAGTGGTTCTGAGTTGGTCCCTCCCCCCTTCTTCGTTCCCTCCTCCCTTTGCCCCCTCCCTTCCTCCCCCTCCTCCCGCGTGGCGCCGATACGTTTGCAGGTGAATTCGTATCCCTCTCACTGCCCGCATTTGTCTGCCACGCGCATAACTTTTTATCTTGCCAATGCGCCGTCTGTGCGCCAGGCTTGACTGACTGACTGACTGGACGCCCTTTTGGGGTGCTCCCGAGCCGTCTTGGGAGCCATCTTGGGCGTCCTGGAGGCCTCTTGGGCCGTGTGGGGGGCCCTCTTGGGGCCGTCGTGGGGGCCTCTTTGGTAGTTTTGGGTCTGTCCCCGATGCCTCTTCCGCGGTCCTTCTGAGCTCTTGGGCCGTCTCGGGCCGTCGGAAGGCCGAAAAGAAGCACATGCAACAACCTAAGGAGCATCAGTGATTTTAGCCTCTTCGGTCCTTCCTGGAGGCCCTGTTGGAGCCTCTTGGGCCGTCTTGGGAGCCTTTTGGGCCGTTCTGGGCCATCTTAGAGCCCTCTTGGGCAATTTTGGTGGGTTTCTGGCCCGTCTGACGCTGTCGGAAGCTGACTTGGGGCCTCGTTAGGCCGACTGCGGGTCCTCCTGGGGTGCTCCAGGGCCGTCTTGGAGGCCATCTTGGGCGCTTTGGAGGCCTTTCGTGCCGTTTTGTCGCCCTCATGGGGCGGTCTTTGAGGCTGTCTTGGGCCGTTGTTGGGCCATCTTGGAGGCCTCTCTTTTGGAGCTCTTGGGCCTTCTCGGGCCGTCGGAAGGCCGAAAAGAAACACATGCCAACATCCTTCAAATACCTGAGGACAATCAATGATTTGGGCCTCTTCGGGCCTTCCTGGGGGCCCTCTTGGAGGCCTCTTGTGCCGTCTTGGAGGCCACTTGGGGGCCTTTTCGGCCGTTTTGGGCCATCTTAGAGTCATCTTGGGCCATCGTGGCAGGCTCCTGACCCGTCAGGGGCCATCGGAAGCTGTCTTGGGGGCAGCCTCTTGGGCTATATTGAGGCAACGTTGGGCCTTCTTGAGTCGTTTCGGAGGCTTGCTGGGCGAACTTAGAGGCATCTTGGACTCTCTTGAACCGTCTTGGTGACCATCTTGGACCATATTGGCCGAACTTGGAGGCCATCTTGGCCGTCTGGGAGGCTATCTTGAGCCGTCTTGGAGACCTTTTTGCGGACGTTGTGCTCGTTTGCGCTCGTTTGCGCTCCATAGTGCGGCTTTCCGGGTGGCCGGCGGGCTGGGCTAGAGCCCCAGGGGAGAGTTCTTCGGGATAAAAGAACCACAACCAAAACCGAAAGGGTCAAGCACGTTGGGCACCCCTGTGGCCAGCCAACAGGTGGCGGTGGATCCGAGTGGCTTTCGGCCCATCCCGCCACCGTGCCTGGGTTGTGGGTCGGGGGGTAAATGTGCTGTGGTGTCGTGGGGGCCCTCTCAGGGCCTCGTGGAATATCTTTTGGGCCGTGCTGGCGGCCTCTTGGGCGCGTCTTGAGCGCCTCTTGTGACCTTTTGGGGCCTCTTGGAGCGTCCTGGGGGCTTCTCGGAACGCTCATTGGGCCATCTTGGAGCCCCCTTGGGGCGTCTTGGGGCCCTCTTGGATGCGTCTTGGGCTGTCTTGGGGCGGTGTTGAGAGCTTTTTGCGCCGCCTTGGAGCGTCGGAAAGCCAACAATGGGAGAAGGCTTACATCTTGTGAAAGCTTAACTAAAGTTGTCGATGTGGGCCTCTTGGGGCTCTGTCGGAAGCCCTCTTGGAGCGCTCGTGGGGCCTTTGGGGGCCCTCTTGGGCCGTCTGGAAACCATCTTCTGGGGCCTTGGAGCACTCTGGGCCTCGGCAGTGCGAATACGGCGCACTTTGCGAGGGTTTATGGCCTCGGGGGCGCGAATGTTGCGTGAGGTGCGAAGGTTCAAGACAACCCCGCGCGGCGCCAGGAGCCCCCAGGGTAGCCCGATAGGGTCATCAGGACCTTCTCCTGATTCAACGTCCTTCTCCACTTGCCTCTTAATGATCTTCGTCGTCGTCGTCGTCGTCATCGTCGTCCGCATCCCTCGTGCTCGCCCTCGTTCTCTTCGTCCTCGTCCCTGTGCTTCTCTTCCTCCTCGTTTTCTTCATGCTCCGCCTCGCTATCCTCACATTCTCCACGTCGTCGTCGTCGTCGTCATCGCCTCCTCGTCGCCCTCGCCTTCCTTTTCTTCTTCGTCGCCCAATGTGCCCACTAGACCAAAGCGGCGCTTCCCGTACTTGTCCGATCAGATTTTTCGAATCGCCGCCTAAAAAGTGATAATTGAATCGTTCCCCTCCGCTGATTACATAACGATGGTGGCCGCACGGGCGCCGGAAGGGGCGCTGAGAAGGGGAGGTGCAGCAAATATACCAGTTCTGTCCCCGCTCCTCTTTTTCGAGGGTCTGGCTGTTTGACTTCAGTGAAACTGTTAGTTTTCACTACCACGGGCTTATAGATGCTGGTTTCGGGCCCCGTGGCCAGCAAAGAGAAATTCAGGAATAGGTGCCAGCCCCAGCGCAGGTGCTGATAGGTCGGGGGGGAACGCTTCGTCGATTTTGGGCTCGGGCCCTGGCTCAGGCTCGGGTTCGGACTTGGGCTGGGGTTCGGGCGCGGGCTTGGGCTCGGGCGCGGGCTTTGGCTTGGCCTCGGGCCCGCCTTTCCCCGATCGTGACGCATCAGTGGCCCCGATTCGGTTTAGTTCGGTTTGGTCCAGTCTGCGCTCGGGTCGGCTCGGCTGGTCTGTCTGGTTCAGGCGACCGTCCATCTTGGTTTGGCCGACTCGGTTCGAGTCGCATGTTTCGGGGGTCTGTAAATGGGGGTGTCATCCCAAGGTGGGGTCGAGGAACATCCAGCCGGATACGTCCTTCTTACACGGGCATTTTTTTTTGTGTTTCCGATGTTCTTCTAGCCTTTAACCCCGCCCCTGCCCCTACCCCACCATTACGTCCCCCCGGAGGGCTGGTCTGGTTTGGCTGGTCCGGTTCGGCCTTTCGGTTTCGACGGTTCGGGCCTGTTCGGTTCGGCCGGTTCGGTTCGGTTCGGCCCGCTGCAGTTGGGGAGAAAGCGAGCGCGACAGAAAGGACAAAGGTGGGTAATGCGGGTGGAAAGGGAGGAGCAGGAACAAGAGGGCGTGGAGGAGAGGGGGGGGAAGGAGGAGGAGCGCTTCTTTCGGCGAGGGCCACGCAGTGCACCTGGTCGGGCGCCTGCGCTAGGCCGTGCTCGGCTGTGCTGAAGGTGCTTCGCCGTCCGTCGTCTTCGTCGTCTGGAGGCTGGCTCCGGACCTCGGGATTGTCAAAAGCCATGGTGTTCGCCGTTCGGTCGGTTATTTTGTCGTTGCCGCGTAGTTGGGCCATGCTAGGTTGCTTGCGGCCTGTCGAATTCGGTAGGCTTCGGTGTCGCAGTCGGGTCGGTCGGTTTGGGGTCTTGCTGTCAATGTGCAAGGCCTTGAAGAAGCCGCCCCTGGGAAATGGGTCGACAGGCCCAGGAGCCCATGCATCGAAGCACAACGGAGCGGGGAGTGTCTTGGTGGGGAGATGTGAGAGGTCAATGGGTGATCTCATATTTTCATCCTGTCTTCAGGTCAATGGGTGATCTCATATTTTCATCCTGCCTTCCGGCGACTGGCCTTCGTGGGTTCTATAAGCATCCCCCCCAAGAGCGGCCATGGGCACGGAGAAGGATAGGGGTTGGATGAGGAGAGGGGGGTGAGAGGAAGTTCCTTCTACCCCCTCTTCCCGCCTCCTCCCATCGCCTCGGCGAAGTTCTCCCCCTGGCAGCGGCGAAGGTCCGGTGTTCAAGTTCGTGCATTCGACCGCCGCACCCCTGATGGAGGACAGCGTTCTCCCGGTCGTCGGCCTTCTCCTTCAGTGCCCTGGTCCTCCTCCGCCTCGTCCTCCTAGTTTGGGATGGTTGCAGGTTGCACGTCATGGGCAGGGGGCGGGCTTGGTCCAAAGCCTTCCTCACCGGAACTTTGAAACACATCAGTTATCATTGGTCTTCGCCGTCCTTTTTATTCGCCTCCCCGTTCATACACATCCTAAGCACGCACACTTGTTCTTGGTCGTGGGTCACGAGCTTCCAAAGCGGGTTGCGCTCAACGTGAATCTATTGCTTTGCGAGAAGGCATGATTAAAAATGAAGGTCCTATTTGAAGATGAACGCACACAATCGCACACAAACGCACGCACACACAGACAACACACACACACACTTTTTGCGTCGGCGGCCGGGCAGAGGTTTCTGCTCTGGCGATGTGAACACACACACACACATACGTTCTATTATGTCCCGCAGTGGTGAATCAACGGCTGGTCGAAAGCTAGTGGGTTGCGTGAGCTGAATGCCTTTTCGAAGGCGCCCAAACCGACGCCATGCCAGGGGCAGGCTACCTCAGGCGAGCAGCACGTGAGAAAGAGGGCCGACATGCAGTATGGAACGTGCCATCAGCAAGATATTGATTGGAATGACGGTCCGACAGGGACGAACGGCCTACTCACACACATACGCATTCGTCTGCGTCCAAGTTTTCGCTAACCCTCATTACATAACCCAGACCTCGGACCTCTCGCTCTCTCACTTGCTCGAGCGTGCGAGCGAGAGGACCGACCTCCTCCTGCCCTCGCTCGCTCGCTTGCTAGAGGGAGCGAGCGAGCGAGCACCACGCATTTAGTGTTCCGCCCGCCTGGCCCGACCCGCCCAACTTGCTCGCTCGCTCGAGCGAGCGAGCGAAAAAACACACATGTAATGGCCCGCCCGAACAGACCCGCCCTGCTCGCTGGCAAGCGAGCGGGCGAGCGAGAGGACCGACCACGTTCCCTCGCTCGTGTCGCTCTCTCGCTCGCTTCTGCGAGTGAGCGAGCTACAACCATGCATTCGATGTCCCGTCCGCCCGAACCGACGCGCTTGGCTCGCTCACTCGCTCGCTCGTTCGAGCAAGCGAACGAGCGAGCAAGAAGACCGACCCTCTCCTTCCCTCGCTCGATCGCTCGAGCGAGAGCGAGCGAGCTGGCGAGATGGCCGCTCCCTTACTTCCCTCGCTTGTTCGAGCGAGCGAGCGAGCATCAGGCATTTAATGTCCTGCCTGCCCGACGCGATCCGCACGGCTCGCTCGCTCATTGGAGCAATCGAGCGAGTGAGATGACCGACGCTTTCGCTGGCTCGCTTGCTCGAGCGAACGAGCGAGCGAGCGAGACCCATGCATTTCATGTCCCGCCCGCCCGACACGACCCGCCCCAGTCGCTGCTCGCTCGCTCGCTTGGTCGAGCGAGCGAGCAAGCGATTACCATCATTTAGCGCCCCAGCCTCCCAAACCGGCCTGCCTGGCTCGCTCGCTCGCTCGAGCAAGCGAGCGAAAGTTGTTTGCGCGAGGGCTGTTTAGCCAAGTCCGCCCCTCAGGCCGCATCACCCTCCGCCACGTGCGCCTCCGCCCGCGGGCCTTTGAGGGGCACCGCTGCTTGGGTGCGGGGGAAGTTCCAGCGGGAAACCGTCCCTCATGCCAAGCTCCCGCGCGCGACGCGCCGCCGCCGCCTGCACCTTCCCGTGCGTGTATCCTGCGCCCAAGCCCGCGCGACCAGGCCCACAAGCCCGTTCTCCTCAGCCAGCTTCTGCAGATCCACAGTGTCCTCCAGCGTCCCGCGGTGGCCCGCCAGCCCCCCCACGCGCCACCGCATGCGTCGCGCAGTCAATGCAACTCCACGCATTCGCTTCATTTGCAAATGCCAGAGGCCTGCGCCAGACACCGCGGGCGCCCCAAGCACCGTGCCGCACACTTGGCACGCGCAGCTGTCATGGCGCCGGTGCGCCGACCACCACACCTCTGCAGGCATGCGCGCCGTCACCCTGGTCACTGATCAGGCCCGACAAATCCTCCACAAGCTTGCCCCCCGCGGCGCCCAGCGGAGCCCCAGAGCAACAGGCGGCTGCAACGGCAGTAAATCACGATATAGGATCAGGCCGCCACCTCATTGAGGGCAGCCGGCTGGAGCAGGAACCATGCCTCCGCGCCTGGGAGAGGCACGCTGAGCCTCGCTGAGCCGGTCGGCAGAAACATCGGCACGTCCCTGCAGGTGCGCTGTCACCTTCGCCGCGTGATCGAGCCACGTCGCGCCCCTGACCAGCCAGGAACCAGCCACCGCTGGTGCGATCGGATTAGCGGCAGCCAGCGCCAGCATACGCGCATGAGCCAAAGCAATGCGTTGTAACAGCTCGGCACCCCATCGCGTGAGCATCCTCGTCTGGGCCAGCACCCGCGCGTGCCCCCCCCCCCCCCCTGCACGCAAGGAAACCTGCGCCCCCAAGCCCAGCAGCATCTTTGCCGCCTCGTACTGCACAGCATTCAAGCGGGCCGTCGCTGCCCGTCAGCCAGGCCCAACACGTGCCAGAAGTTCCGCGCCGTAGAATGCCGCTGTTTCGACCCTAGCGGCCAGCTGCGCAGATAGGTCTGGCATCTCAAACCCGCGCTTGCTCCAATGCCGCCACCAGCCGCGCGCACACGCCCGATGAGGGCGTGGGACGCGAGGTCTCTGTCCACCGGCACCCAGTATGTGGAGGACGTGGCCTCGCCCGACATGGTCCGACACGGTCCCGAAACCGGCGCCCCTCTGCAGCTGAGTGGCCACGTTCATCGCCATCACAGTCGGCCGCTTTTTGCCTCCTTGGAAGCGGTGCCGCCATTGCTGGCAAAACAGCGAGATGCCCCTAGTTGCCGCGGCAATGCCAGCTTGAGATCATAGAAGTACAAAGGAAACGTCCACGAAATGCACGATGAACGTCCAGGAAGTCCACGAAATGCACGAGGATCGCGTTGCTGTCGGCAGACGTCCGACAAGTTGCCGCCCACTCGTCCCAGCGCGAGGCCGCGTTCAAGGCGGCGCGCGCCGCGTGCGCCTTGACCGCCTCGCGGTGCACCAACTCGCCAGGCTCCACAACCCTGTTTCGGCAAACGTCTTCGCTGCACCAGCTGGGACGTCAGTGTCTACTCCGTCAGCGCACGTGGCGCACACTTCAGCAGCGCCCAGGCTCAGGTGCCGAACATATGAACGCCTGCCCGCTTACCCTGCCCGACGTCGGAGCCGACGAGCTCCACGGCCAGACCCGTCACCCCGCCTATCCGGACACGGATTGCTTCGGGTCCCAGAGCCGCGTCGGCCACCGAGCGAACGAGATGACCGACCCCTTTCTGCCCTTGCTCACTCGCTCGCTCGCTCGCTTGCTCGAGCGAGCGACCGAGGAAGGGGCCAGATCGCTACAGCGGTCGCCGCATGGGTGCGCAATTCAGGCGAGAGACCCGTTTCGAAAATATACGTGGTTGCATGTGTCCAGCAAGAAGTTCAAAAAAGAGGTAGCGCCGTAAAGATCAAGGATGTGGTCAGCGGTACTTTTGTGTTGATATAGCCCCTGTCGCACAGTTTTAAACGTCTGGTTGCTCAATGTTGACTGTATGGCCTTCCAGTGCCTTTCAGTTGGAAGAGTTGGCTTGTGTTCATCCATCCGCGTAGTTGCAATATTGATCGCCGCTGAGTGTTGATGCCCATCTTGAAAATTGGCAGCTCTTCGTCTGCGTAGTTGATGGAAATGTGCAACACAAGTGTGAGCGGCGCTAGAGAGGAGAAAATACAGAACGCGAAAAATACATGCGCACATAGAGAGAGAGAGAGAGAGAGAACGCGAGTGAGACAGAGATGGAGAGATCGAGAGAGAGAGAGAGACAGAGACAGAGAGAGATAGAGGGACACACACACACACATATGTTGAAAACGACTGGTACTCCATGGGTGTTGCGTTCCAGCCTCCTTTTCCCAGGTCACCTCGCAGGGGCGCGAACATTACCACGCCTCGCGCTTCGCGGTCTGGGCAGGTGGCCGCGCGGGACCTCAAAGATGAACGCACCGCAGGTTCTTCCTTCTTCCCCCCCGAATGAGTGGGCCCCACAGTTAGTTCTTGGCCCCTCCCACTGGTCGAATACTACACGATTCCACAAAGATCAACTGTTTGAGCTCAGCACGGATTTCTTGGATCTGCGCTGGTCCCCCTCCCTTGCTCGCGGAGCGCGCCAGGGGCGGCTGGAGGCGCCGCCAGGGGGCCCCAGCGCAGATCCAAGAAATCCACGCGGAGCTCCGAAAGTTTATGTTTATGCAGCTGTTTCGTTTATTGGAGCAGTGATTCATCGTAGACAGTTGTTGGTGGCCTCGGCAAGGCCGAATGGGGATCTCTCTGGGATCGTGCCGCACTCTTCGACGTCCCGCTCCGCCAGACTCGGACCAGACCTCGAGCTCGGACAGCCGACGCGCGGAGGTGGGATGGGAGGAACAACTTGGCCTTTCCGGCTGCGGGTCCTTCCTCTTTGGGAGTCTTGTTTGTGGGACCGGCGTGTGTGCCGTGCTTCTTCTCTTGCCCCCCTCGGCCACGCATGTCTCCTGTGAGCCCCCTCTCAGCCTCCCCAGCTGGGGCCTCCCTCTCTGCTCTGTGGGAGTCTTGGTCGGGGGGGGGTTCTCCACCTACCGTCACCCACCTCCAAAATATTGAGCCAGCCCGCACGTTGGTGCGTCGGCTTCGCGTTGTTCGGGGGGCTGCGGCATTGACGCGCCTTTTCATTCAGTGAGAATGGTGACAAGAACGTCTGGATTGAATTGTTCAGTCCGCCCAGGGGTTTGGGCTTGTGCAGCGCGAAGTGCGAAGTTCGGTGGCTCAGTGTGCCATCTCCTTGTCTGTGGTTTCCGCCGTCGGCAATGCCCCTCAGCCGCCTCGGTGATGGAGTGTGGCCATTTGCGGGGGAGTCGCCCCAGCGCGCGCGCACCGCTCCTCAGGCTGGGGTCGGTAGGGCGGTCCATGGCGGGCTGCACGCCGCGCCGCCGCCTTCGTCGTCCTCGTCGAAGTGGTCATTGTGTTCGTCGTCTCCGTCCGCGCCGAGTCGGCCCCGCTGTCGCCTCTCGTCCGTTTCCTCGAACTGCACAAGCCCCCCTGACGTGGACTACCCACCTAACGTCACCCGGACCTCGGTGACACCGCGCCTGGCCCGCGCGAAGTGGCCCAGTTTCTGATCTGGTTATCTTTCGTGAGTCTGGTTGGCTTTGGCGCAGTGTCGCAGAGGCTCGGTCAGCTTAGGTTAGGGAGTTACCAGGTTAGGGGGGGTTGTATTCCCCACCCTCCTCGTCACTCGCCGTTATCCTTCTCTGTTCCTTTTGCTTCTCTCCGAGGACGGGCAGCCCGCCAAGGGCCGCGCCGGCGGCGCCACACTCGCCGGCGCCCCTGGGAGTGCGCAGGCGCTCGGGGACTACACGGTCGTCGTCGCCGTCGCTTTCGATGGCGTCGTCGTCGGTGGCGTCGTCGACGGCGTCATCTTCGTCAACGTCGATCGTCCGAGACGGGAGGACAGAGTCTTTGAGCAGTTCTCTCGCTGCCGGGCTTGCGGGAGGCCTCTGGGACTTCTGATCAAAATCCGCTCTCGGGAGGTCCGGGGGTCGGCGGTTTCGTCGGGGACATCGGGGTCTTGGTCGTCGGCGTCGTCGCCGTTGTCGTCGCCGCGGTCGTCGTCAAGCTCGTCGTCGGAGGAAGGGGTGGGGAGCTCTTTGGAAGGACCAGGAGGGATGGGAGGGACGAGCGGGGACAGGAGGAGGAATGAGGAGGAGGCGAGATGAGGACGAGGAGGGTGATGAGGGGTGCCACAAGTCAGGACGTCGGGAGGGGGGTCTGGGTCGTCGTCCTCTTCGTCGCACTCTTCCCGCGCGCGAGTTGGCACCAGCTGGGAGGCTGAGGCGCCCCCAGACTGGTTGCAGCCAGCTGAGGGGGAGGAAGGGGTTCTTTGTGTACATATTGCGGCGCATCTCTCCGCAGGGCCGCGGTCAGATGACGCAGGAAGATGAGTTGGAGGGGGAAGAGGAGGATGAGGAGGGGGACGGATGATGATTATGATGATGATGATGATGATGATGATGACGATGACGATGACGATGATGATGATGATGATGATGATGATGATGATGATGATGTTGATGGTGATGGTGATGGTGATGATGATGATGCTGATGCCGATGCTGATGCTGATGCTGCTGATGCTGATGTTGATGCTGATGATGATACTTATGATGATGATGGTGATGGTGATGGTGATGATGCTGATGCTGATGCTGATGCTGATGTTGATGTTGATGTTGATGCTGATGATGCTGATGCTGCTGATGATGATGATGATGGTTATGATGATTATGATGATGACGACGATGATGAGGATGAGGATGAGGATGAGGATGATGATGATTGATGATGATGATGATGATGATGATGATGATGCTGATGCTGATGATGATGATGATGATGATGATGATGATGATGATGATGATGATGATGATGATGATGATGATGATGATGATGATGATGATGATGCTGATGATGATGATGATGATGATGATGATGATGATGATGATGGTGATGGTGATGGTGGTGATGGTGATGGTGATGGTGATGGTGATGGTGATGGTGATGGTGATGGTGATGGTGATGGTGATGGTGATGGTGATGGTGATGGTGATGGTGATGGTGATGATGATGATGAGGAGGAGGAGGAGGTGGAGGAGGAGGCGAAAGGAGGATGGTGGGGAAGAGGGGGCGTGGCAGGAGGAGGAGGAGGAGGATGTCCGAGGGAATTGAGGGTTGCAGGAAGGTAAGAAGGGAGGACAGAGTGGGAAGAGGAGGAGGAGGAGGAGGAGGGGGGATTGGGAGGAGGAGTTCTGAGTACTGGGCATGGCTCTGGGATGACATCCGCATCGTCTCGCGACTGAGCTGCCTCTGGGCGTCGAAGTTTTTCGACTGTCAAGTCCAATTGAGCCAATGTGGATATGAACGCGGCCAAAGGCCCGTCGGCCATGCAGCCGCGCTGCCCCGTGCGGCGCCTCATCCCTCCTTGGCGCGCAGCTTGGGACCGACTGAATCAGGGACCGACTGAATCATTTCCCCCCCCCCCTGAGCCCGCCTCCGACCCCGTCCACGATCTCCCTCACTCCCTGCGATCGCGTGCTCGCCACTTCCCGCAGCCTTTGCCGCGAGACGAGAGCCGTGGCATGCCATCGTGCCTGGAGTTTCTTCCGAGCCCCCTACCCTTCCCTTTCGGCTCGGGCGGCAGCACAACAACAGGATTTGCAGGGAGAGAGGGCGAGGAATGCGAAGTCATGCTATGCTGTGCCTGATCAGCACTAGATGCTACCCGAGGCCGCAACACATCACAAGGCACAGCTCCTCTGGCAATCAGAACTTCAAGCATGGAGCTACTGTGAAGCATGGAACTCACTTGGCTCCACCCGCCCCCATTCCACTCCACTTCAGCGCGAGCTATCTCTCTCGAGTAGCTCCCTCGGCGCGGCGCCCGTGAGCCTCTTGCGTTCTTTGCTTTGTGTTCGTGCTTTGTTTTTTGTTCTTTGCGCTGTCATCGCGGTTCCAAGGTCGTTTGGATTTGATGTTGGCACGACCAAGTAGGGAAAACAAGACCACCGCCTCGAGAACCGCCAGTTTCGTGCCGTGTGCGATCGTGAGGCGAGCCAGCTTCTTCATCGTGTTCCTGAGGGTCGTGTATCCTGGACGGCCTCTCCTGGACTGCCTGGACCTCCCCCTCCGTTCTGATAGCCCCCTTGTCCGCCTGCTGATGTTTTTCCCACTTTCGCCGCCGATGACTGGCCCGCACCGACAAGTTACATGCAAGAGGGCATACCGATGCCCCTGGGCTCTTCCATTACCGCTGCCGCCGCCGCTACCGACATAATTGTCACAGAATTTGGTGCGTGAGACTCTCGTGCTAGTATTCGGCGTTTGCGCAACTACTGGCCAAGGGAGGTGAACCAAGACATGACTACGAATGTCAGCATGGCCTTTGCCTCGATAACCACGCAATCGACATTGATAATTACTAGGTTCAACACGCTGGACCATACTTGTGGGACCACATGCACCACAATATCTCCTTGCAGCTGCTGTCTGAAAACGTGTTGTTGCCATGGTACGACTCCTGATGACCTTCCAGCAGACGGGACATCCATTCGAGGTAAGCAGCACATGATTTAGGTTACGGACGTGGTGTTTGCGTCTACTGTGCTCCATGCAACCTCTACGTTTAGCAAACCTGCATCTGCACGTGCCCCTACTCCCGTATTCCTCCTTCACCGGAACCATGCAAGCATACGGACCCATCATCTTCCGGTAGTTCCTCGTGGCCTGCAGGATTCTTATGGTCCCAAAGCAATACGTCGTAAGTAAGGGTGTTGTCTCTGACGTAAATCGAAGTTCGCAAACTCCTCCCGAGCCTCCCCATCCTCTCATAACGGCCACGGGCAGTCCGAACATTGAGAAAACATATATTCCGAGTCTGGGCACGAGCGGGCCGCTTCACCGATGTCCGTGCCGTCCCCTCGTGCTCGGGGAGATTCCCACTGGGAGTCCGGTCGCTGAGCACGGCCAGTGGTTGGGGTCCTCGAGCGGCATGTTTCCACCGAGCAGCGCGAGTAGTTCGTGTGTATGGCATTCCTAGTGTGCCGCCTAAGATTGGTACCATTTCAACCGATGTGCTAACAGCCCTGTTTTACAAGCAGTTATACCGAAGTAGTCGAATAGTAGGAGTGGAGAGAGAGAGAGAGAGAGAGAAAGAGAGAGAGAGCATCTGTTTATCGTCGTGCGTGCGTGCTCCCCCCACCATCGCCGTCCTCCTCAATCGTGCTAAGTGGCTATTTCATGAGGTGCGCCTGCTTATCTCTCTGTATCAAGGGTTCCATTCCAGTAAGCATTGGCTATTGGACTAGCTCAGTGAAGATCACTCAATTCCACTGGCGGGGAACGTCCGTAGACCAACATGAGCCCACGTTGTAGAAGCCTGCTGAAGCTGCTGATATACGACTGCCTCTATCAGTGGAGGACAACTGGAGGGGGACAATTACAGGTCCAAGGTGGCGAGCAATGCCTTTCAGCGTACCTTCGACCCGCCCTTCCTTTTCTCCCTGCTCCCTGTGGTATCGTTTGCACGCCGATGCACCTTCACCTGCGATATGGAAGTTGGTCACCTGCTTGGTCCTGTTCTGAACGTATCCCACCACTGACTCAAACGAGCGGTCGAGTAGTCGATCAAGACCATGTTCTGCAGACTAAGGTCTGCAATTATCGCTCACTCTGTGATTGCAGACTAAGGCCTGCAGTCACATCCAACATAGTGTCGCCGATAGAGGAACTAGTCGAAGTAGATCATCTGCATACCTTTGGTATGACATGCCAAATCATACTCCACACGACACGGCCTGTTGCACACTGGTAGTGGGAGTGTGTTCACGTTCTTGGTCCGCCCATTCTTCCACAGGTGCCCTGGAAGCCCCCATGAAGCCCTGGACATTTAACGGGCTCCATATAACACTTCCAAATCTATTCTTAAGCCTCAGAAGCTCGGACGTGGTTTCGATTTCCATTGGTGGAAGGCGGTACCGCTGCCTACACAAGTTTCGGTCTACAAAAATAAACAATACAACCAGCCGTGGGGAGCCACTTTCACTTGGATCCGGGCGTCGAGGGCGGCCCTTCTGGTGCTGCCAAACGCGTTTGACATGTCTTGCATACGACCACCCCTTCGGTCTGAGTCGAAATCCCATGGACACGGCGCTTGTGAGTGCATCCTCCCTCCTCTTGTGACGATTGCATCCGTGATGGTCAGGTGGTAGGATAAGAGAGACGTTTAGCGTACAGGCTTTCACTGGAGCGAGTGATGTATGGGTAAGCCTCCGCTCCTTCGGTCCTGCCGTGCCGTTCGGATACAGGGCCACTCCGCGACTACGATGCCAATGAAGCGGGGCTGCATCATGTCTGAGGATTTTCACAATTGTCTGATGAAACATATGTTGGCTAGCTTTGAGGCAGGGGAGAGGTTCCGAGTACTCAAGACCATACTTGTAATGATGGTCGCGGTTAGAAGAAGCAGAAACAAATCCCACAGCTCCAGGGTGGCATGCCAGAAGGAACTGCCCGACGTTTGCGGCCCCGACGAAAATATACCCTCAGAGCAAAATCATCTTCTGATGCCAGGTCCGCCAGGCTCGACTCCTCACTTGTTGAGATCTGAGGAGGGGGTGCGTGTGGGACGCCAGGTGCTCCAAGTTATAGTCCTGTCGACGTACCTCATGTACCCCCTTCTTGTGCCACACACTCCCTCCAGACATACATATCAGGAAATGCAGGGCCCAGGCGCCGTCCGTCGCGTTGCTTGGCCCCGAACCTACACTTGGCTGCTTTGCGGGACAAGCGCACACGGTCCCTCCAAGCTTCGCCGACGAGCTCAATCATCAATGCCCGCTAAAGAGCTGACTTCCGCTGCTCCCCGTCTAGCTGGTTCAATAATGCACTGTGCTCCTTCTCGAATTCTTCAACCTCCTTCTCCAGCTTACCTCCCTGACGGGTATGGGTGCGCCGCCTGTTCGGGTACATTCGTGACACCTTGTTAGCTTTGACCTCCCTCCGTTTCTTGAGTAGTTCCCTCCTCGTCGCCTCTTCGCACAGTCCTCCGATCTAAGTGCCGACCGTGAAGAGCTGAAGTGTTTACGCCCAATCCTTGTGAAGATACCCTTGTAGGCCTCGAACGCGTGATCAGGCGCGCCGGTGTGAGCCAATGCTAACAATTCCGCAATCTTTTCAATCGTCGTAGCCAATTCCTCGAGAAAGGTTGTATTGCCCGTACCGTACCGTACAGCCATCGACAGCGTTGAGGTATTGAAAGGAGGAGACGGTGGGGGGACAAATGTTTGGGGTCTTCGGCGCATGCCATTTCGAGGTAGAGGGGAACTTGATCCCGAGGGGAAAGCCACGGACTGCCTGCACTTGCGCCCCTAGGGTGCGAAGCTTATGGCAATGAAGGAAACGAGCGGGGTAGCTTTGTTGAGCGTAAAGTTTGTCGATAGTGGAAGTCTGGGAGGGGTTAGAGCCCGAGGGCCACGTAAGTTTCCTTCAGACGATTTGTCGTAGGTGCGCCTACTTGGTGGTCTAATGAGGTCTTCACCTCCTACCCCGTTTCTCGTCTCCGTTGTTCTCGCCCCCTCGTATGTCCCAATGGCAGTCCAGCATTTAGGCCCGAGTCCCGCGAGAGTGCTCAATACCAGTCCAGCATTTAGGCCCGAGTATAATATTGGCAACGTGTGTGACGGGAGAGAATTCAAGATGTTTCCCCATGGTTTCATACGAGTTTGCACAGTCGCAAAGTAGTTTCCCACCTGGTGCTTCTTCGATGGTTGGAGAGGGAAGTAGGGAACACCTCGCACCAGGTCCCGAGCCTCACGCTTGAGTCTTACTGCAATCGCGTGACCAGTACATTTAGCAGGAGCCCCCACATGTCTGAACAATACCTTTTTAACGATATGCGCGGCTCAGACAAATAGCGCAACCAGTGCAGCTGTTGGCGAGGCGCCTTTCTGGTAAACTGACTCGGTAATCAGCCTCCCCTCCAGGCGACATCGTAGTACTCTTTCCCACCTTCGGCAAGAACCCTGGGTATCTGCCAGAAGTAGTGCATCAGCGCATTGTGTAGCGTGCAGTAGTTAATCCATCCGCATCCCAGTCCAGAACATCGGATTGAAGGCGATGGCTCGAAGGAACGAATGAGTCGGCGCCCTGGGCGTTCCTGCGAGGGGCGCGCCTCGACCCCCCAACACCCTGTTCGGGTGTGCGCAACTCCAGTGGTGTACTAGACGAGGACGACATGAAATGGACGAGGACAAACCACGGAATGACGTGGATGAGGGAGGAAGATGAAGAGGAAGAGGAGGCGAGAGGTGAAGATGGAGATGGGAGGACAATGAGGGAAGATGATGTTGAACAGAGGGGGAGGAGGGGGAGGACAAGAAAGAATAGGGATCGGGGCAGGGTCAGAGGAGTGGAGGACGATGGCTAGGAGGATGGCGGAGGATAGGAGGGAGGGGGGAAGAGGTCGATGAGGGAAAGCAGCATCTTGCCAGGAGAGAGACAGCAGGGAGAGGGAATGGTGGGAGAGAGGTCGTACCCGAGCGAGCTGATGGGCACGAGGATGGATGGAGGGAGGGCGGGAGGACGAGGAAGGTGGATTGAGAGTCGAGACTGAAGGAGGAAGACTTGGCATCGCTCGGACGTGTGCCTATTTTCTCGGCGATGGACATCGAGGATCATTTTGGATGATCCAAGTTAGATCATCATCCGCCAACACTACTCAGAACCTAAAAAGTGTTCAGGGAATGGACGTCCGAACGATGGCAAAAGACGGGGATCCGCCGCCGGCTTGCCACGGCTAGCGGAGAGGTTGCGGGCGTGTTCGCCAACACCGTGCGGAGGGTGACGAGCCCGGTTCTCTGTGATCGCTCCACTGAGCCCACAGGGCGTTGGTCGGATGACCAACATCGAGGAAGAACCAATTGCAGAAACATGTATATGTTTTCGACGGTCCGTGCGGATTTTTGTTGGATCTGCGTTTGGCCCCCTTCCTCTACAAGCACGGCGTGGGCATATGTTTGCCAGAATGGGCCCTAAACAGTAGAATGTGGCACCCTCGATGTGCAATATGTTCGGATGTGCTTTGCAAGCTGTGTCACTCAATATGTGCATACTGCAATCTATTCGTTGAGAAAGCTCGTGAAAGCTATGCGGTGCAAGCTGCGCGCTGCCATCAGTTTGGTGTAAACTGTGTGATTGAACTTGTGCCTACATGCAACATATGCGGTGGAGGCTATGCGTTGCAATTTTGGTGATGCGACCACAAGGCGGCCGTGGGCGGGCACCTGGCGAAATCCTGGCAGACAAGCCCAGCGCACGCGGCCGCCGCACGGCGGCCATGGACAGCCACGGACGGGCACCATGCGAAGCCTTGTCAGACACACTCAGCGCAGGAGCGCAGGAGGCGGCCACGACGCGGCCACAGGCGACCAAGCGGGCACCAGGCGAACCCCGGGCAGGCACATCCAACTATTTATCTCAGGCAGGCAAGGATTCCCCAACGCAATCACTGCCACTGCTTGAACAAAAAGTGTTGAGAGGTCCGCGCAGAATTGTAATTTCCTGGCGGACGGAGCCTGTGGCGTCTCCCTCCAGAGCGCCCCGCGCGCCGCGGAACGACAGTGGGGAGGGAGGGAAGGTGCAGCGTCGACCCAGCAAGCCGTGGTGGACCCCCGAAAGCTTATGTGTATGTCGGTTTGGGGGATTATATTTCTATATATATATATATACACAAGACTGCAGTGGCGCTTCGCGCCATGCACCTTGGTCCTTGAAGTTTTGTATGTAGGCGGAGGCGGAATGGTAGGAAGGTCAAGCCGACAATTTAGCGATAACTCCTGGTTGCCTTTTCCGGTATCGCCGCTATAATGATGTTATTCGTTATCCTTCCTCCATGCTTCTTGTTCTTTATTTTCGCCATACACTGCGCATTCTCCCCATCCTCCTCTGCTCTTTTTTGCGGAGGCTCCTCCTTGGAGAGCCTCTAGGGAGCTCACAAAAGTTGTTTCGGGTTTTCTTAAGGCCTTCTGGAGGCCTCCTGGGCGCATTCTGGGGGCCTCCGGGGGCTTCCTCGGGCCACCCTGCCTCCAACCGCCGTCTCCCTGAACGACCGGATCACGATTTGGAATTCTTCGGAGGGTGTCTTTGGGCCATCTTGGGCCGCCATGGGGCTCTCTGAGGGCCATCTTGGACCCGTGTTGTGCCGTTTTGGGGCTCTCTTGGGCTGCCCGGAAGCCCTTTCGGATGGTTGCGGGGCGATTTGGGAGCGTCCCAGGCGGCTTCGGACGCCCAGAAGACCGCCGTCTTGGAGCGTCAGGAAGCCGAAAAGAGGAGAACCCCCAAATTCACCAAAACGCACAGAAAATCAATTATTTTTGCCTCGGGGGGCCTTCTTGGGAGTGCTCTTGGGGGCCTCTTTGGGGCCGTCCTGGAGGCCTCTTGGGCCATCTTGAGGTCACGTCGGTCACTCTTGGAGCGCTCTTGTGCTGTCTTGGGGGTCTCTGGGACGTCTCCGATGACCCCCTGATCGCCCTAAGTGTGCTGGGAAGGCTTGGCAAAACGCCTTGCGAGGCCCGGTGGCCGCTTCGAGGCCCGTCCGGAGGGCCCCAAAGCACCAGGTCCCGGGAGTCCGGTTTTTTTTTTGGGGGGGGGGAGGGGTTTTCCCCCCGCCCTGGCTTATAAACATATAGGAATAGGAATATATATATACATATATCGGCGCACCGGGTCCGGGGGCCCGGGGCCGGGACCTCGACCGCAAATGTGCACCCCGGGGGGCCCGGAGGCTCGTCGGGGCTTGCCGGAGGCCTCCCCAGTCAGACAAGACGGCCCAAGAAGCGCCCAAGACGGCCCAAGAAACTTCCAAGAGGCCTCCAAGAGGGCTCCGAGATGCTGAAGATGGCCTCCAGACGTCCAAGGACGCCCCCAAGAGGCCCCAAGAAGCCTCCAACATGCGTCCCAAGAGGGCCCCTAGACGCAAAAATTGGCCCATTCCCTTCGTAAAACGTACATTTTCAACAAAGTTGTCTTTTGGGCTTTCCGACGTTACAGGACGGCCCAAGAGGCGCCCAAGACCGCCCCAAGACGGCCCAAGAAGCTTCCAGAGGGCCCCAGGACAGCCCAAGAGGGCCCCAAGACGGCCCAAGAGGCGCCCAAGATGGCCCAAGAGGGCCCCAAGACGGGCCCAAGAGGGGGCCCAGAGGGGGACCACGAACCGCAAGCTCGAGCCTTCCGCCCCAAGAGGCCGCCAGGAGGCCCCCAGGAGGCCCCTCAAGAGGCCCCGGGAGACCCCAGACGTCCAAGGACGCCCCCAAGAGGCTCCAAGAAGCCTCCAACATGTGTCCCAAGAGGGCCCCTAGACGCAAGAATTGGCCCATTCCCTTCGTAAAACGTACATTTTTAACAAAGTCGCCTTTTGGGCTTTCCGACGTTACAGGACGGCCCAAGAGGCGCCCAAGACCGCCCCAAGACGGCCCAAGAAGCTTCCAAGAGGGCCCCAGGACAGCCCAAGAGGGCCCCAAGACGGCCCAAGAGGCGCCCAAGATGGCCCAAGAGGGCCCCAAGACGGGCCCAAGAGGGGGCCCAGAGGGGGACCACGAACCGCAAGCTCGAGCCTTCCGCCCCAAGAGGCCGCCAGGAGGCCCCCAGGAGGCCCCTCAAGAGGCCCCAGGAGACCCCAGACGTCCAAGGACGCCCCCAAGAGGCCCCAAGAAGCCTCCAACATGCGTCCCAAGAGGGCCCCTAGACGCAAAAATTTGCCCATTCCCTTCGTAAAACGTACATTTTCAACAAAGTTGTCTTTTGGGCTTTCCGACGTTACAGGACGGCCCAAGAGGCGCCCAAGACCGCCCCAAGACGGCCCAAGAAGCTTCCAAGAGGGCCCCAGGACAGCCCAAGAGGGCCCCAAGACGGCCCAAGAGGCGCCCAAGATGGCCCAAGAGGGCCCCAAGACGGGCCCAAGAGGGGGCCCAGAGGGGGACCACGAACCGCAAGCTCGAGCCTTCCGCCCCAAGAGGCCGCCAGGAGGCCCCAAGGAGGCCCCTCAAGAGGCCCCAGGAGACCCCAGACGTCCAAGGACGCCCCCAAGACGCTTCGCGTCACCAATTTCTTCTCGCAACGATTCCTGGGTCTGTGACTCGACAGAACCTAAGCGCGCGCGAAGCGCGCGCGTGGTTCTAGTATATGACTTTCTTTGAAGATAATTGTGCCTCATCTCTCACTTGAGCTCGACCGCAACTGCGTGTGCTCAAGTTCTTTCGGCAGGAGCCCCGTCCGCGCCCCTGCATGGCCGCGGCCGTGGAGCTGGTGGGGCTCGGCGTGCGGCTGGCCGAGGTCTGGCTGCTGCGCGGGCCGGGCTGCCCCGCGTGCCCGGCCTGCCCGACCCAGACCTGCACGCTCACGTGCAGCGGGCCGGCCACCTCCCACACCGAGCCCGCCGAGGCGCCCGCGCACGCCGCTGCGCCGGGCTGGCTGGTGGTGTGGCTGTCCGCCGCGGCCGGGGCCGTGGGTGCTTGGGCCATCGGGCGCCTGCGGCTCTTCGCCAGGCCGCCCGCCGCCCGCGCCGAGCCGTCGGCCCCGCCGGCGCTGCTGCCGGCGCTCGCGGCCCCAGCGGCTCCCGCCCCTGGGACGGCCTGCCAGGCTCCCGCACCAGGGCCCGTGACGCCGAGTCAGCGGCGAGCCCGCTCGCTGGAGCAGGATGGATCGTAGAGTCCCAGACGTCCCCGAGGCGCAGGTCCTCATCGACTTCATGGACGACGAGAACGGGCTGCGGTGGCACGCGCGGCTACTCATCATCCAGACGCCCACGCCGGGGGTCTGGATCGGCAGCACTCCCGACTTCTCGGTCCAGCGGATCGACCTGAATGTGCATCGTGTGATCGCCCTCGCCCGGGGACAGCCCTACCCCCCGGCGCAGTGGGCGGAGTCGTACGTCTTCGACAACCCCATCCCCGACGCCGACCTGACGCGCGTCAGGCAGCAGGCGGCCGCCCTGGCGGCCGTGCTGGGCCAGGCACCCCCAGCGGGCCCAGCGGCCCCGGGCGGCGTGGGGGTGTGGCGTGTGGCCGACCCCGCCGCTCGCAGCTTCGGCGACGAGGTGCCGGCCCAGATCCTCTCGGACCGCGCCACCTTCATGACGCCCGAGGCGGCGGCCGACGAGGACTACCTGAGCGGGCTCGTGCTGATTGACAACTGCTGGACCTTCTGCCAGCTCGTGGCCGACGACGACCGTGCTGCCTGGGAGCGGGCGCTGGTTTCTGGCAATCGGCGGGACGATCGCGTGACAGGCGACGCCCGCGAGCCCGTCTCAGGCCGTCGCTTCATCTCTTTTGCCGACTCTTTCGGGCTGCAGCACGCGGCGGCCGAGCCGCCCTTCCCCTTGAGCGGGAGCCGGGTCACCCACGAGTTCGTGAAGACGCTCCGCGCCACGGGCATGGAGTGGATGTCGCACCACCTGGACTTCATCCACAAGTCGGGCATCTCGCCCAACAGCAACATCACGCGTGCACATCGTAGGCTCACAGAGGCGTTGCACGCCTTCCAGCAGCAGGACATGTTGAACCTGCCCAGCCTCTCAGGGGTCGAGATCCTGGTCCGCTACCTCGTGCAGATCGAGATGGCGGTGGCCCGCAACCCTCGGAGCCCCGACTTCCAGGACCTGGACGCGGTGGTGGCCTCTACGGTCAATGAGTATGGCGGCCTCGTCCTTCCCGAGTACTCGAAGTACATCGCTCAGATCCAGAAGGACGAGGCCTTCACTTTGAAGCAGCAGCGGCAGTGGCGCGAGGAGCAGTCCACGCGCTCCCGGGGCCGCGGCTCAGGCGACGACGCAGGCGGCGGCGCTGGCGGCGAGGACGGCGGCGCTGGGCGCTTCCGGGGCCGCGGGCGCGGCCGTGCAGGTGGTGGCGGACGCGGCGGTCGGGGTGACGCCCCGGCCGCCGCGCAGGGATGACTCCTGTCGCGCGGGCTGCGGAGAGACGGCGCTCGCCCCGGCGCCGTTCGGCCAACGACACCTCCGCAGTCCGCTTCGCAGGCGGGCGCACGAGGGGACCTGATGCCGAAGGGGCTCCTCGATTTTTGACGGGTCGCGCTCACGGCGACCCCTTTCCTCTGCCGCTCCTGGGCAGATCGACGCCGAGGGAGGTGCTGCCCCTGAGCCTCTCCTCCGGCGTGCGGCGGCGGTGCAACCAGGCGATCATGGCTCTGAACGACCTGGACGCCCCGCTGGCGGCTGCGCGGCGACTCGCCTCGGTCCTCCCGGCGAACGCCGCCCAAGCATCTGTATTGCAGCGCGTCCATCAGCGAGTGGCCGCCTTCGGCGACCCCATCGGCGTGGACGGTGATGACGCGCTCTGTTCTCTCCTGAAGTCCAAGGACGTCTACAGCGGCCGGCCGACCCCAGTTCGGCCTTATGTGCCGCGCCTCCTCAAGGTTCTCGACAGCGGCATCTCGCCGCAGCCGATCCGCTCGCTGGTGCCGCCCTGGCTGCTACCGCTGATCAACGAGCCGGAGAAGCACATCTTTCGGTCGCAGGCGGTCCTCGACAGCATGGTGGAGGCCGGCGAGCTCCCCCCCATCTACCCCTACTGGGATGCGAACCTGCGGCGGGACCCGGTCCTGCGGTTGGGCCTCTTCAAGCAGCTCATGCGCATTGGCCTCGTCGGTGTGCGCACGCGCTGCCGTGCCCGCGCCAGCATCTTCTTCGTTGGCTAGAAGGACGGCTCGCTGCGCATGGTGATTGACGGCCGAGAGCCTTCGGCTCTGCATCGCCGCCCGCCTCGGACCGAGCTCGGTTCGGCGGCGGCCCTCAGCGGCCTCTGCCTCGACGCGGGCTTGCTGGGCAGCGACGGGCAGGGCTACCACGGGGCCAGCGCTGACCTGCGCCAGGGCTTCTACCAGATGCAGTGGCTCGAGATTGGCAGCTGGTTCTGCTTCGACTACCCCATGCCCATCCGCAACTTCGACACGGACCAGGTGTACGACGAGGTGCACCGCCGCTTCGTGCAGGTCGATCCCGACACCGTGGTCTACCCGTGCTTCCAGGGCCTCGCCATGGGCTGGAGCTGGTCGCTCTTCATCTGCAACGGCATCACCGAGGACGTCACTCGCATCGGCATCAGTCGGGCGCTGTCCATCGCGCCCGAGGAGGTCAGGATGGTCTCCGAGCGCTCCCCCTGCGCGCGCCTCGGCGCGGGCGAGCTCGCTGGGGCCTCCTACGTCGACAACGCCAATGTCGTCGGGTCGCCGCGCCGCCTGGTCGACGCGGCGCTGGAGGCTATCCTGCTCGAGTTCGAGCGCCGCGGCCTGGCCTACCACGAGGTGTGCTACGCCACGCGGGACTTCGTCTGCTGCGGGGTTCGGTTCGACTTCTGCGACGGCCGCGCGGTGCCGCAGCGCGAGCGGGCCTGGCGGCTGCATCGGGCGGTCACCGCCCTGATCGACCGCCGCGGCTGCACGCCTGCGGCCATGGAGGTTGTGCTGGGGCACGTCGTGCACCACTTCATGCTCATGAGGCCGGCCCTCGCTGTCCTGAGCTCCTTGTACCGTGTCGTGTACGCGCCGGGCGACTACTGCCACTTCGACGCCGAGCAGCTGCGCGAGCTGGGGCTTGTCAAGGCCCTCATTCCGCTCGCTGGTGTGGACCTCGGCGCACCATGGCACCCGTGGGCCTACTGCTCTGACGCGAGCCTGTGGGGCTACGCCCTGGCCACGTCACGCTTCGACGAGAGCGAGCTCAGGGACATCGGCGCCTACCGCGAGCGCTGGCGCTTCGTCGCCATCGACCGCCACGCTGATGACCCGGGCGATCCGCCGGGTACTGAGGTTGCCACGCAGGCCGGCTTCACTGCCGGCAGCGACGACGCCGCTGTGTTCGCCGGGCTGGATTTGCCGCCCCGTGCGGGTCGGTCGTCACCGTGCCTGGCAGCACGGCGGAGCCGAGCGGCTCGGGTCGACGTGGAGGCGCCGGCCTCCGCCGCCTGCAGAGGCGGCATCCCGGCGCTGCCCGACGCCGCCCTCGCAGCTCACAGGTGGCAGCTGGTGGTCCGCGGCGCCTTTCTCTTCGCGGCCCCGATCCACATCCTCGAGGGCCGGACGACGCTGCTGGGCCTCAGGCGGGCCACCCGCTCCGTGGCGGCTCACGGCTGCCGCGTCCTGTCCATCGGCGACAACCTCTCGTCCATGATGGCCTTCGAGAAGGGCCGCTGTGCCAACCCGGTGCTCCGCCAGCTGGCCTGCCAGGCTGCCGCGCGGCAGATCGCCACTGGCATCCAGCACTACCATCGGTACTCGGAGAGCAGCCGCAACCCGACCGACCACGACTCCCGGGCGGCCGACCGCTTCGAGCTCGAGCCGGGCCAGACGCAGCGCGGGGCGCCGCGCGACCTGGCCCCGGCGCCTCCCCCAGCGCCGGCCGCCTCGCCGGCCGGCGGCGCGGGCCCGCACCGCCTGGGCGCCCGGCCGCGAGAGCGGCGCCGGGCGCGCCACGTGCTCGAGCTCTACGCCGGCTGCGCCCGCCTCACGGCCGCCTGCCTCGACGCGGGGCTGCAGTCGTGGGTCCCAGTCGACATCTCGCGGGGGCCCTGGCACGACCTGTCCGACAAGCGCATCATCAGCGTGATCCGCTCCCTGATCGTGCGCAGGGACGTGTGGTACGTCCACTTCGGCACGCCGTGCACCCCCTTCAGCCTGGCCACCCCGGCGCGCAGCCGGGCCAAGCATTTTGCCTCTGGTAGTGCTTCGGTTTCGTTCACCATAGACATGCTTCGCCTGTGTGAGCGATTTGGCGTGCGCTGGTCCGTCGAGAATCCCTCTTCTTCACGTCTCTGGCATTCTCCCGAGGTCACATCCTTCTTGGATCGTCACTGTCACTACTTCGTTCATATGCATTATTGCCACTACAACTGCCGCTACCTGAAGCCCACCACCCTTGTCACCAACCTGAAGCCGCTTCAGGCCCTCGAGGCCAGCTGCTCCCGTGATCACGTTCACGAGGTCCTTGCAGGCAAGGTTCGTCTGGGTCCCAAGGGTGCCTCCGTCTGGAAGACCAGCCTAGCCGGGCGCTATCCGGAGGCGTTGGCTCGGAAGTGGGCTAGCATCCTCCGCGAGTGCGCTCCCGCGGCAGGCCGCCTCGATGGTGCTCGCCCTGAATGCCGAGGGGAGGCTCAGCTGGCAGCCGCCGCCGAGTGCGACGACTGGACGCGCACGCCAGACCCCGTCTGCCCCGCCGCGGGCCACCAGGAGTGGTCGCCCGACCAGCTGGGCTGGGGCAGCTGCGCGGCGCAGGCGAGGGCGGCCGAGCGGGATCGCCGCCGCCGCTTTGGCCCAGCGCCCCGGCGCGGAGCCGCGGCACCCCCTGGGCCGCGGGGCCCCGCGCCGCCGCTCGCGCCTGGCTGTGGGCTCGCAGCGGGCCGCCAACAACGACGTGGCCCGCGAGGACTTCCTGGCTCGGCGCCGCGTGAAGCCCCTGACCCAGCAGCACTACGCCCGGGCTGCGGCCGAGGTCCGGCGCTTCGCGATTCAGCACCGGTACCCGCTGGCCACGCCAGCTCAGAGAGACAAGCTGATGGTGGACTACCTGCAGAGCATCTTCCTGGCGGGGGACGGGATCTTCGCCGCGCGGACCGCCCTCTACGGCTACGCGTTCGAGGAGCGGGTCAACCTCAGGGACGTCGCGGAGTTCCCCCAGGCCCGCCTCACGCTGAAGGGCTTCGCGAAGGCGTCGCCCGGCGAGCAGAGGGACCCCTGCCCCTGGGAGGCGGCGCTGCTGATCATCGATCAGTGCCTCGCCTCCCACAGCCCGCGCCAGCAGCTCGTGGGGGCCGGCGTCGCCGTGGCCTTCGACGGCTACCTGCGCCTCTCGGAGCTGCTCCACCTGAAGGCCTGCGACGTGACCTGCCTCCGCCACTCCGCGACGTCGGCCTACCCCCAGGTCTCGATCACCCTGATGCCGGCCGCCCCGGCGGACTGCCCTCCGTCTGTGACGACGAAGGCCGGCGAGTGCGACGACACGGTTACCTTCGGCGGCATCGGCAGCGCCGGCATCTCGCGGCGCTGGGTGGCCAAGCTCCTGCGGGACCTCAAGGCCGCCACGCCGCCGACCAGACCGCTCTTCCCGTTCAGTCACCGTGAGTTCGAGGTCGCCTTCCGTGAGGCGGCTGACGCTGCCGGCTTGCAGCGCCTCCGTCTCTGCCCGCACTCCCTTCGGCATGGCGGGGCCTCGACGGATTTTGCGCTGAAGCATCGCTCCCTGGCGGAGGTGCAGCGGCGGGGCCGCTGGAAGTGCGCCGCCAGCGTGCGACGCTATGAGAAGGCCGGCCGCCTCACACGCCAGCTCGCCAAGTTGTCCCAAGGCCAGCTGTCAGACGCCGCTCGTGTCGGCAGGAGGCTGGCCGCCAAATCTTCTTTCGTCTTCGGCGGCCGCTCAGAGAGGTGAGCTGTCCTGCTCACCAGCTCCCAGTATGGGCGGATATGGGCTTTGTTTCAGCATCGCTTGTGTGCACGTGCAATGTTCTGTGTTTCATAGCGATTGCCTCTTGGATGATGGCCGCCTTCGGCGGCACGATGCAGGCTGTGGAAAACACGTTTTCTCTGCACTCGGCTTCGCCGTGCACCGCCGTCTTCTCTGGTCGAGCGGGGTTAGGTTTTCAGCATAATGACTTTCTTTGAAGATAATTGTGCCTCATCTCTCACTTGAGCTCGACCGCAACTGCGTGTGCTCAAGTTCTTTCGGCACCGTCCGCCATCGCCCTCCACCACCGGGGCTTTGTTTCAGCATCGCTTGTGTGCACGTGCAATGTTCTGTGTTTCATAGCGATTGCCTCTTGGATGATGGCCGCCTTCGGCGGCACGATGCAGGCTGTGGAAAACACGTTTTCTCTGCACTCGGCTTCGCCGTGCACCGCCGTCTTCTCTGGTCGAGCGGGGTTAGGCTTTCAGCATAATATATATATATATAGAGATATATATACACATATTTATGTACGCCTTGCCCGGTGTCCTCGACATCTCATGTCGAAGCAAACATGTGTGTTTCTGTATCCCCGCTCCAGAATGCCCAGAGTGGGTGCCCGATCCGATCCAATCCGTCCATCTGCCCAGCATCACCCAAACCTACTCATACTATCTATGCGTCGAGCCCTCAGGGGCGACGAGCGCGCTCAGAGATCTTGCAGTAATTGGTTGGCCATACCGTTCTGGGATCGATATAGTTCAAGTTGGTATTCTAGACGCTCTGCATATCCTCACTAGCCTATCCAGATAAGATACCCAGGCGAGTTGAAGACGACGGCGGCAACGACGAGTCAACCATACCGCCTTCGCAGGGTTTCGCCCCGCGAACCTTTTGGAAGGAATTGGGATTCTTGGATGCGGTCTTGAGAGTTCCCGAGGCCATCTGAGGCCGTCTTGGCGCCATCTTGGGATTTCTTGCAGGCATGCTGGAGGCCATCTTCAGCCTCCGTGGACAGTCGTGAGCCCATCCCGGAGGATATCGATTAAAGAAGGAGCGGCAATTCGCACTGCCCCTCGGTAGCACCTCAAATCACCCTCCTCGTGGGGCGCTCATTGGATGACCTTGGGCGCTCCTGGGGCCGTCTTGGAACCCCCTTCGGCCTCTCTTGGAGCCCTCTTGGGCCATCTTGGAGCCATCTTGAGGCATCGGAGGGCAATCGAAACCGAAAAGGCGAGAAAGCAAACATCATGGAGTTTCTAGTGCTTGCATGGGTTGTGGAAGGATCTTGGCCGGTTGTCGGCTTCCTTGGCAAGCCCCGTGGCCACTTGGAGTCGTGTTAGGGCGGTCTTGCAGCCTCTTTGCGCATGCTGGAAGCTATTTTGACTCACCTTGAGCCATCTTGGGTTATTTTGGAGCTCATCTAGGGCTCGTCCGAATCAGCACTCTGACACCTCGCCGCCCCTCCGATGGGTAAGCCCCTCCCAGGAGGGGAAGAAGGAAGATGGAAGCGGATACGCGATAGACCACCTCCGCCCAGAGGGTTGGTGGGACGTGTCCCCCCGAGAGGGGGGTGCATAGTACGATTGCGCCCTTCTGCGTCTCATCCTCTGACACATTCTCCTGCTCCGCATCTAGAGACTTCGGCAACCCCAGAGAGGTCTGGGGAGGAACAGCGAACATGGGGGGAGACTCCTTCGGCATCGTAGAACAAATACGGTGTCTTTGAAGGGCACGGCCGGAGCCCTCGACCCCATCTTTACATCATTTTCGTTGAAGATACTTTCAAGTCCCAAGGTACCTCACGAAGTTTTTCGTTTCTACCGTCGAAGGAGGCGTCATTGTGCTTTCTTGTTTCGGGGGCGGGCCGAAACCCAGACCGCACCTCCTGCTTCTATCAACCTATCCCGATCGTCATGCATGCGTTGTTTGTCCTTGCTGGATCGCTTTGTGAAGGTTCCTTGGCCCGAGACGGGGCCTCATCGCCAGTAGTGTGTTTTACGACGCCGGCATATCAGAATCTCCACCCTCCCACGAGGAGGGCGAGGACAAGAGGGAGGGCGATGACAAGTCGCGCGCTACCAGCGCGACGCCGCTCTGCGCGCCGATCTGGAGCTGAGGTGAACTTGAGCAACAGGAACGCGTGCAGCGTCACGTGCAAGTTCCGTATTGAGGTTAGCACGCCGCGTTTTTGTGTTTGCGCGTCGAGCAGAAGGGGACGGAGTTGGAGGGTGGGAGGAGTCTCCGAAATTGTCCCGCACCCCTTCCGGTTGGGCATCCGTGGGGGTTTTCGTGGCCATGGTTGGGCGCAGTTTGAGAAAGTGGCCAGGACACTTTTTGTCTGCCCCCCGACCCCTTCCCCTCCGCGACGTCACGCCCCACCCCCCCCCGTGCACCCCCGGCGCTGCGGCAGAGCGTCCGGCACCACAGTCTGTGGTGTCGGACCCACGGGGGGGGCCGTCGCGGGGGCGTTACGTTATCCCTCCATCCCTCCCATACCGTAACCGTCGCAAATAAACGAATGTGCAGGTTGGACGTCGGCAGTCCCGAGGCTTGTTTTGAGCGCATGTTGGACGGGTTCCACTTCAGCACCCCGCCTCCATGAGCCTTCCCGCGTTCCCGGGAGCCTTTGTCGACGGGGTCGATCCAGTCTGAGCGGCCCCAGTTTTCTCAGAATGCACCTTCCCAGGGATCATTTCGATTCCTCCGACTCGATTCGATTCGATGTCGATCGATTTTGATTCCGAGTCGATTCGACGTCGGATTCCGATCTGCATTTCGGCTTCTCAATGGAAGTTTTCTTGGTCTGCCAATTTCCGCCGATTTGCTTTCTCCTCACTGAGCCAATTTATTGATTTCCGCCGATCCGAATGATTTCGATGGCCGATACGATTTGTCGAGGCTGGCGCGCGCGCGCCCGCCCTCGCCACGGCTGCGCGCGCGACTGCGGCCATCCCATGGTCAAAGGCCCCGGCAGCGGAGTGAACGTGCCCGTGCCAAGGGGCAGCGACATATGATGTGGCACATCCGATGCCAGTGCCTACAATTGCAAACGCTAATCGGTTCATCTGATTCGCAGATCTTGGAGGAAAATGCTGACCTGAAGTTCGCCTCCGGCTTCTCCCGCATCGTCGACGATAGGCTAGAGCTTGAGTATACTATCGACGGTCGGTGGAGGACCGGGATGAGCAGGACGAGGAACAGGACCAGGACCAGCACGAGGAGTACGAGGAGCAGCATGATGAGATGTGTCGATTTCTCTGGGGGCCCTGATCACAAGCCGCCTCGCACCCATGCGCCTCATTCCGCTGGACGTGCACCTGCGTGAGAACCTCGACCTGCGGAGAAATGACTGCATGATGGAGGGCACGGACACGAAACTCATCGGCGCAATCTCTTTGAAACCAGACATGTGTTCCAAGATGGTCGGCAGGGACACGGTCATGTTGGAGGAGGCTTTGGACAAGTTGAACACAGACACCCTGATGCCAGGTCTCGTTTATGTGATGCTAGCCGCGCGCGCCGGCATAGCAAGCACTTCTACGTCTCTCGGTTATTCCCCTTCTTGGCGAGATGCCTGGGCATCGGTGCAGCCTTGGGCGACTTGGTTAATGAAGCGGGGCGCTCAGTATGGATTGCAGGGGTTCGCCCGGGGGAGGCTCGCCATCCTCGGCCTTCTCGTGACAGATCTGATTCCTGAACGCTGCCCAGGGGTGAACGTGCCCATGTACAGCCTGATCGTCGAAACCAATGCGACACTGGAACCCATATTGAGGCATGCCCAGGCGTCCAAATTCTTGAGCACCTCATGCAATGTTTTGTTCGTCCCTTAGGGGTGGTATCGCATTGTCCTCAAACGAATTTATCGAGATGACGATTTTGACAAATTCGACTGGCCAGATGAATGAACTTCAAGAGTGTGGGTTTACGGGGGCTCCGCTTAAATGTTGAAGCGAGTTTTGAAGCAGCGCTTGCTCGTCAACAGTAGTAGCATTTGGGTCTCAGGCATCATCCGAAGCCATACCGTGTTCTATGGGGACCCGGCGCATGCCGTGGCAACACCTTCGAAAGGTGTATCTTCCCGCGATTTCAGTTGTGCCTTGCGCCATCTGCGTGTGGTGAAGCGCACGGGAGGTTAGCAGCAAGACCATTTACATGACACCATTCCATACGATTTGCATGTTGGGCACTTCTCAGTGTCAGTTTCGATACATGACTTCCCGGTTCACATTGCGTATTTGCAGGAATGCGTGCCACAGTTTGATCGGCCGTGCTGTTTAACAGTGGGATCTAACGTACGGCCTGCATCGTTGTAGCAATCGGCGAACACATGTATCACACAATGAGTTGTATGGTAAAGGTGTGATGGACATGTATTGGTATGTTGTCATGCGTAAGACCTCGCAAACCGAAGTTTTGTAGCAGATGCGCGATCGTGTGGAGAGTTTATTTGGCGTGCGCGAGCGGGAAATCACACATTGATGTCCAGATTCGTGTCGCAAGACCCAGTTGCGGACTCCTTTAGAGACTTCGCACCGTTCATTGTTGAACGTCGCGTCCAACCGGGACAGGAGGCCAACCACTGGATCTGATTCCAAGCTCCCGAGGCAATCTTTGATACGCTGGTGGGTGCAAGTTCGCATTTTTTCATCAGTGGTGGCTGCGACTCATGCGTTGCGCGGAGAAAGAGCCCGCACCAGCACGGGATTGCACACATTCAACGGCATGGCGTGGGTGTTGAACACAGGCGATGCTCGTTTCGCGGTTCACTCCACGGAAGATTCGCAGGACAATTGAATGTACAGGAGGACCATCTTCCAAGCTTCCAGAAGTCCTTCAGACCCACAAGCGGGGAGTTTCATTGCACCGTTGCCGGATGCCCTGGCTTTCGGGAGTTTGGCGGCGGAGGTACATTTCAATTTGTTTCAGAGTGTGGTTTGATCCAGTTAGCCCAGTTAGATGAACAGGTTCACGGACGGGTCCTGGCACGGCAAGGAGCTTGCTCACGCTGTGGCAGCGTAGGATGGTGATCCTGTTGATGCTTGCGGGGTGGCACGGGCTGCTTGTGAATATCCCGATGCAGCGGCGGGAGCGCGTGCAAATCTTGAAGCAAGAACCCGCAACGAGTATCTTCGAAACCCAGCTAGTGATCGTTGTTCCCGTCGCCCTCCGCTACCAGATGCGGTTTGCAGCAAGTATCAGGACAGGTTTGCGAGGCGTGAGGTGCGGACGTTTTTGTTTGGAGTGCTGGAGCGTTCGGGGTGTTCTTCGTAATGGAGCGTTCCTCATCTTCGGGCTGCTGGAGTTCGTCGTCGTGTCGGTTGTCGTCCCCCTGCAGCCGCGAGGCACCCTGCGTGTGTCGGGCGCCTTGCCGAGTCGCGCCCGCCGCACCGATTCAATTCCATGATTCCTCCCCTTGTCCTTCTCTGCTCCTCTTTCGGGTCAGTTACCCCCCAAACCCATATTTACCGCTCGTCCATCCCTTGCAGCCCGACCTTACGTCATTCTTTCGCCGCACCTCATCGTGCGTATTCGGAATGTTGTCAGGTGTGATGCAAAATGATAATAGCAAATTGAAGGAACAATCGAGGGTGCGATTTATTATAAGTATGTTAAACATTTAGATCATCGCCATCATCAATCACCAGGCGAACAATTAAACCCGATCATTGGGCCCCTTCTGGGTACCATCCTGGCTCCTGGTCTGAGCCGCGGCCAGCCATGACGAGGAGGGCTGGTCACCACGGAGCATGAATATAATGATGTGGAAGTGGATCCGCCCTCGTTCTCCCGATTGCCGTTCGCCACAGCTGCCATCCGCAGAACGCGTTCCCGCGCGCAGGGGCCGTTCCGCATACGGCAGGTGGACCAGGCCGGCGGCCGCGGCGGATGATGGAGTGAAGGAAGGAGGAGGCGGAGGCGAAAGGAAACGAGGAGCGCGATGAGGAATTGAGTATTTGTCACCGCTTCTTGGTGGTTTTCCGCGGGAGGCCGTCGCCAGCACGGTTGGATTCGCTTCGCCATCCTTGTCGGAACGCGTGTCATCCTCGACGGAACGCGGGAAAGAAAACCAATCACCGCTAGCCATCGTGTTCGCCGTGGTGGCCAGCGGCGAAGTGGCGCGTGGCCAGCGTGTAGGTCCAGCGATATTCAATACCTTTGTGCAGGCAAATTGTGACGCGTCGGTTTGTTTCAGCCTCGTACTATGTTCTTCCTGTTCGTCTTGTGCCAGTTCCTGATCATTCTGCTCATCCACCCCACCTCCCGCCCTAACTCTTCGTGCTGTTCCTCCTTGCGTCCGCTCGCGCGCCTTCTTGGTTGCCTCCTCCCCCGCTTCCCCATTCCCGTTTCTCCTCCATTGCTCTCTTGGTCTCCGTCTCCTTTGCTGTTGTTTTTTCCCACGACTTGGATGCCCCCCTGTCCTCAGGCATTGGACGTCGTAAGGTAACAGCGAAGTCGTGAGCACAGCACGACTGGAGCTCCGTCCACATCATCCCTGCGATTGATTTACCAGCGGGGTGTAAACCTAAGATTGTTGTGAGAATGGTGGGAGAGGCCTTCTGTATCACGACACGAAGGCAAGAGGAGGAGGAGGAAGGCCTTGCTTGTCCGTCCCCTCCCGCTCCCCCACTTCGCACACTCTCTTTTTTGTAACAGAGATGGCGACCGCGCAAAGCGTTCGAAGCCTGAGCGTGACCACTGCTAGGCGAATTGCGCATAAGGGCATGGCAGACGAGACGAGACGGCCGCAGAAATTGGCAAAGGCGTCACACCCGCTCAGTCCGTGTAGAACTTCTCGAGCAGTGCGGCGGTGGCGGTTTCCCAGGAGAGTTGTGCGAAGGTAGCCGCCATGTCAGGCAGATTGGAGGCGGCTGCGCAGCCCTGTCTTGCCAGGTGTGCGATCTCGGGTGGCCGACCGAGCATTGTTCAGGGGACCAGGCAACTTCGGGAGCGCAAAACTCACGTGGCGTCTCAAGCGGAATCGAGAGCGGCCGGGCGAGACCATGTCCACGGGGCGCGAGCGATTGCCACGCTGACGATGGTCTTGTGACAGGGCAGTGTCCTGTCATGAGCCAGCGGGTCGCACAGTCTGCCGCCTGGGTAACAAGAGGTGCAAGGTGCTGCGCAAAGCCAGGAGGCCCTGCTGAACGCGAGCGGGGCTTGCTAATTTTTTGCGTCGCTGCCTCGCGCGCAGCGTCGAGGCGTCGAAGCGTAGAAATTTGAAGGGCGAAAAGCGGGAAACGCGCACGGCCGGCTCATTCAGAAGCCAGGGACAGGAACCCACCTGAAGGGATCAAACGCGTCATGTGCAAGCCCATGGCAGGCATGCGAGAGGGAGAGGTGCGGATTAAAGACGAGGAGGTGCCGGACGACCAGTACCTACAATGCAGGGGAGATTGGGCGAGGCGCAGTGGCGGCGGCAAAGGCGAGACCGCAAGGGGCGATTGGTAAGGCAGGACAGGAAACGCAGGTGCATCAGACTGAGACCTGAGGGAGATGGTGGACCCACCGCAGGAGGTCCACACGCACGCACACACACACACACACGCACGTCATGGTCTTCGTGGCGGAAGCCTGACAGTGCCGATCACTTGCCGAAGGATCGTGCTGTGCCATCCGCTGGAACATTCGATCTAGGTCGGTCGTAGGGGCACAACGATAATAGCGTTTCGCATTGTTCGGTCTGGGTTGGAGAGTTGTTCCTATCCCATGGGCGGCGTGAGGGTGCGAACATCAGCCCCTTTCGCGGCACGCATTGAGTGATGACCTAGTGACCTAGTGAATTATTCTTCGATTTGCCACCCGACGTTGCTCTTCATTTTCATCGTGGTCGTCCTCGTCCCCCTCCCCTTGCCCTGCCACCCAAGATTACCATTCCTTTCATTTCCGCATCACTCCTCCTTTTCTTGCCTTCCCTCCTCGCCCTCCATTTCCGTATCCCTCCTGCCCCGTACTGTCCATCCTTCTCCCTCCCCGTAGTAGTTCCTCCTTCTTTTCCTTCTCGCTTGACCCTCCTGGAACCACTCGGAATTTTAGATACGCGGTAACCAGTGTTTCCCTCCATCCTCTCCCTCCGCCCTCCCTCGTCCTCGTCCTCGTCGTCCTCCCTCCCCCCCCGCCGTTGTCGTCCTCGTCGCCCTCGTGGTCGTCGTCGTCTGGGCCCCCACCGCTGGCGCGCGCACGCGCGGCCGGCAGTCTGGGCAGCATCCGGTGAAGCCCCGGAAGGACGGCACGAAGCGCGAGGCGTTGCCGTTGCCGTCGTCGACGATCGAGGATGATATTCGGGGAACAAGACATGAAAACAAACAAAAGCTTTGAAGTCCGCGCGGATTCTCGTATAGGCGCTGGACCCACCTCCTTGGAGCGCGTAGCGTGCCAGGGGCGGCTCAGAAGGCGCCGCCAGGGGCCCTGGGTCCGATCCAAGGACTCCGCGCGACATTCCGAGTTTTCATGTTTATGTCATTGTTTGTTCCCCTAGAGATGAGCGGGGACCGAGGTTCGAGGATCCAGTTGCCTGGATGTTCAATTCGGGTCTTCCGTTAGACATCTGGGATCGCCTCGGCCGTCGTCCGTGGGGTTCGATCTGGGGCCTCCTGGGGGGTCCCCCCGTCGCCACGACTCGTACCGAAATCCTGATCAGAACGCGGTTTGGGAGAGGTCTGGTGGTCGATCGTATCCGACGTCGTCGTCGGCCGTCTTCGTTTTCGTCCGTCGCTGGTCGCCGTCCATCGTCCGTCGTCGCCGTCGCCGGCGATCGAGGCTCGAGGAGATGGGTCGTTTTGGGAGCCTTCTCTGGGCCTCGGAGCTCTGGGGTGGGGGTCCATCGTCGCCACTGCTGCATCCGCTTCGACTCCTCTTGGCATCGCTCGGATGTGTGCACTTTTTCGCGGCGAGGACCGACGAACACATGGAACAGAAACATGCACGGGGAATGGACGTCCGAGCGATGGCGAGTCCTGACTGATCAGAAGGCGGTCCGAGAGAAATTTGTTTCGCGATCGTCGTCGGGCGTTGTCGTCGGTCGTCGGCTGCTGCACAGGGGGAGAAGCAGCTGCAGGCGGCAGGTGGGGCTGGTTGGAGATCGTTTTCGCGAGAGGAAGAAGCAGTTGCAGAGGGCGGCAGAAGCGGCAGGAGGATGAGGAGCCAAACAGAGGGGGGATGGGGAAGAGGAGGATGGGCGGAGAAGGCGGGGAGGAGGAGGGAAAGAGGGCGCGGAGGAGGACGAGGAAAGAGAAAGAGGGGGAGGATAACGGTGGGGAGCAGGTCTTGGGGGGGAGGGAGCTCGCTCGCTCGCTGAACGTCGGTATCGGTCACTGCCGCATTCGTCCACCGGCCAACTTTCACGTTAGTTTGAAACGAAGGCGCCAAACACAAACTATCTCCTCAGCCCCGACCTAGCTCTGCATGCTGTACCACGCATTGAGCTGCTCGCGGGCTTACTCCTTGCCGCACGCTACCTGCTCCCAGTGGCAGGGCACGGCAAAGCAATCTAGGGGGGGAGAGACAAAATTCGAGCGCGTTGCTCAGCGAGTTGTCGCTCCTCGCGCAGAGCTCTGGCAAGGGCTCGGTTGGCGGCGATGTGGTCCAGCTGTTGAGAAGACAGTTCGAGGGGCGCAGGCGGAGGAGGCAAAGGAGGCGAGAGGGGAGGGGGAGAGGACAACAGCCAGACCGCCGCCTGCTCCTCGGGAGAGCCGAAGAGCTGATCAGCTATCTCCTGCTCCTCCTCGGCCTCCTCAGGGAAGTCCGAGGGAGGCGGCGCAGGCTGGGAGGCACGCTGTTGAGGCACTGTAACTTCCTCAGGCTCCGAATCGGAGTCAAGACATCGAAAACGCTCGTGATCGCTGTTGGGCCGATCGCGACGACTAAATCCAGCGAGATCTGGAGCAATTCTGAAGCTGCTAGGAGCCTCCAGGCCCCACGACGAGCAAAACTCGCACAGGGACGATCTGATCTCCTGGAGGTCTGGCGGATAGTCCACCGTGTCGTCGTCGTCGGAGGCGGAAGGAGACTCGGAAGGAAAGATGGAACGGGCGTTATCGACTATGGCCGTAGCCAACGCCAACTGCCCGAGCCAGGAGTGGCTCTGAGCAGACCAGGCAAGGATTCCATGCGGACCGACAAAATCTTGGTGGGCGCTCAACCTACTGCACCAGAGTCCACCTCGGGAAGCTGGTGTTCACACTGACCACACGGGTCTGCGGCGATTGCCTGAAGAGGCCTCCAACGAAAACTGATGGGGGGCCCGCGGGGCCCACGTGGGGGGGGGCAGGATGTTCTAGCCAGCCCCCCGTGCCAGCCCTCAGGCGTTCAGCTAGTAGGCGAACTAGGGAGTGTAGTAACTGGGCCCCGATCCCCAGCTGCTCGGACTGACGCCTGGACATCCACGGCAGACCCCAAACATATTTTGTGGACCTTAATGGGGGGGGGGCCTGCCTGAAGACATCTCGACGACGACCAAGTCTCACAGGGAGGCCCCCCCAGTGACTCAGTGTTACTGACCCGGTGGCAGCGGATGTGCTCGATCCATTCGAGCAGGGTGCATTTTCTAGTCAAATTTCATCTCCTCCAATCGTATATATCGCGATAGCCACGCTGAGAACCACTAGCTCTACCGAAGGCTTCGTCATGGTACGCTCTCCTTGCCACTGAACATCACCCTCGCGGCGCTGGCCGCAGCACGAGTTAAGAACATAAAACGTAGGCCTGCGGATTCGAACCGGCACCGACGATGCTGAAATGCACGAGAACTTTCCTGGATTGTAGACGTAGTAAAGCACGTCCCGAACTGTTTTTTTCTTCCTGGGAGGCTCGTCCGACAAAAATTGAACAGATTCCTCGATGTTGTCGTCCGGGGTGGCGGGAGCTGTGTCAAGTATCGTTCGACGGGTGTCGTGCGGGGATAAAGACCATGCCACATATTCGATACGTTGGTGCCGAACCAAGACGACAACTTTGGTAGCGGGCACCTCCGTGCGCCAGCGGCCTTGACCTGCACGCTGCGTTCGGATGCGTCCATTTTCTGCCAGTTGCAAGTGCCGAGCACCGTGCAACGAGGCTCTGATGCAATGAGACCGATCGCACACTTCAGATAATCGACTGCCAGTTGAGCTGTAAGCGCAGCCCTGTGAGCCAATTTCTATATTAAAAACAGGAGCGGCAATGGATCGCTGGCCCCTGACACGTGCGAACGAAATTGATTTTGGAATGATGAACTCGCAGAAAGTGGGCCCGAAGACCGCGGGCCCGATCGAAAGCAATCCATCACTACGTACTTTTGAACAACTTGGCATCCGCAGTCTCTTGCTGGCGCAGACCGCACCGAGGGTCATCCCAGGCATGCGGTGCACCTGCAGGCTCCAGTATGCTGAGAATCGGCGCTTCTGCACTGTGGATGCCGAGCGTATGATCCGAGTGTTTGTCGAATGGTTTGTTTCCACGACGTCGGCGACTTGGCAGCCCCCAGCTCCCACTCCGAAAGATCAACTTCAGTGCGGCATGGCCCTGGCAACGATTGGTGCACAAACGAAACCAAAGGGCGGCGGCTAAAGTCATCTCCCCCCAGGTCCTCGAAGTGCATTTTAACGGCCGCGCGCGTGAGTGCCATTAAGCGCGGAGGCCCCGAGCGACATAGCCGACCGAACAGACGAAGCCTGCGCGCCGAAAGGAGTGCCTGCAGCGGAGGTAAACGCACGTGCGCAAGAACAAACGGGCGCGCGACGGCCGTGTCGCGGGCCCTAGGGGGCTCGGCAATGACGCGATGATGTCTCATCAGGCCGTCCTGTAGCAGGTTGTGCGGAGCAGGCGCTAAGAAGCCCCAAGTAGTGGATTGGAATAGATGCCCAGACCACGCCAGATAATCCAGGAAGGTCAATGCGACAGACTGATCAATGACCTTGTGTTCAAGGACCTTGCTCTTGAGGACCTTCCAGGCTTGCAAACATCTTGGGAGCCGGCGTGCCCGTTCTGGCCCAGTGCAAGCCGACGCTTCATTTTTGGCCCCGGGGTGGACATTTTGAACGCGAAAAAACAGGTCCCAACGCATTCGTGCGCGTATGGGTGGCGTTGTTCATGTCCCGGACCAGCGTGCGCTAGGCGATCTTAGACGTTGGGCCTCGGAACTGGAACGTGGCGGCTGATTCTCTGGGCTTGACGTTGACCTGGGTTCCCGGGGGGGCGAAGGCTTCGATGACCTCAGCGGCCGCGACAGGAGCCTGCATCAACTGGTCGCCGGCGCTGTCTGCGGTGCAAAAGAGAGCGTCGCCCATAACGACGCCATCCATGAGGTGGCACTGGCGAACTGGCGCGTCGTCGCTGCCGTCGGATGCTCAGCGGGCTGCCAGCGACGACGCAGAATGGCGCGGGAGCCGCTGGCCAACGCCTCTTCCCAGGAGACCCTCCTGAGCCTCGCATTACTTCGGACGTCGCGAAGTTGAAAACCAGATCCCAAAGTTGTTGCCCTGGCCCAGAGCGCAAGAAAAGAAGCGCCACTCCTTTCCCGCCCCGAATGTAGAACCATAATCGATCGCGCGCGTGCGAGATTTGGCGCTGCCCCAAAGCGGAAACGCCACGTTGTTCCAGGATAGGCGCGCAAGGTTTGACGTAGGCGGCCAGCTCTTGAGCAGCCTCAGGAGGGGGCCCACCGAACTTCAGCAGTTTCGCGACAGCCTCATCTTCAGCCGAAGGACGAAAGACCAACGCTCGGACCGACTTGTAAACGGACTGGACCGCATCCAGGAATCACATCATAACATAATGGTTTCCTGCTGCTGCTAATTGCTGAAAGATCCGGAATCCGAGCACAGCAAATTCCGCGCCTCGACCAGAGATGCCGCCAAACTGACGATATCCCACGGCTTTCGCAAGGCGAGGGACTTCAGTGGCACGAGTAAGAGTGCGAAAACGTTTGCCAATTTGCGGTGGGCCCGGCCCAGAATGGATCTGAATTTCTGTCGCGTTGGATGGGGCCGCCAATTTCAACGCACTACCGTTCAGACCCCCCCTCCATTGCATTGGTTCACGCGCCCCCCCCCCCCCCCCCCCGAGCTCTCAACGTGCAATGGGCGAGAAAAAAAAAGCAGCCGAACGGAGTGGCGAAATTGTAATGTCGTCGGGCACCGCCGCAGAGTCGGCGCGAAACACATCTTGCCGCGTGGCGGCTCGGGGCGGCACTTCCTCTATGCCTATGTTCTGGAACTGCTGGTGCAGCCTCGTCGCTAAAGTGTCGAAGCCAACGATCAGCGACC